ATGTAACCATCAAGAGCTTAATTTTTCCGGCGCATGGTGAGGTGGAGGCTCCGGCTTACCGCGCCATCATTGTGCACATCAACGGGCGCCAAGATAGACACCGGCATTGTGCAGCACGAAACCAACGTAGTCGAAGTTATGACAGCAGTATGTAGCTACGGCGTGCCGCTGATATCTGTTCTTATGAAGTGTCGGAATGTTCACGAGCTTCGCCCCAGGGCTAGGGCAGACGCCCTTCATCCTCTTCGTAGAAAGGAAATGGGCCATCGAAAGGTTTTCTGATCGTATTTCTTTTGTTGATAGAATAAAAAAATATTATTTTGAAGTTCAAGTTTTGCACTCCTGCCCATTTTTTACCTCAAAATTTTTGCGACTTTTGTGTTTTGTCTTCAGCGGCCACGACATGAACTTAAACGCTACTGTAGTGCAATTCCAACGGTCGGTGTTCGCCTCCAAGTTAGCCCAAGCTAGGACCAAAGCCTTGCAAAATCATCCCAGCTCACAGAGAAAACTCACCGAGAAAGAAAAATGCCAGAGTCAAGAAAGTGTACGACGGCTCCCTGGATTCTTCACTCGGCAACTGTTTGTGACACACACGAGACCGAGAGCCCTGGGACGTACTCAATGTCCTCCAGCATCTGGCACGAGGCGAGGGCAATGCAAGTGTGGTTTGGAAATGTTTGCCCAATAGCACGTACTATTTATATGATCGTTATCGCAACCATAAGCCCACTTGTTTAGCGCGGTGTGAGCGCCTCTCGAATTCATGGGATTCCGACAGGTCGTGGTTTTGTCAGAGACGTTGCCTCATTGGCAATGTCTGGCTGCATCCAAGACAACGGGGTACATGCAACGTCCACCAGTAAGCTGATGAGTGTAGGCGGGCATATCATTGGTATAGCCGAGCAGATTATGCGGACGCTCGTAAAACGTGAGCATACATACTGTGAACACATCAATTAACGCCGGCGCCCGTGGTCAATTGATGACCGCCAATAAATAATCGTAGCGGCGCGCCGACCGTGCGCGATCGCTCACTTTCAACGAGCAGCACCATCAAAGTCGACCCAGGGCGCCCCGCTGAGAGGTGGCACGTCCCTAACCTGATTCGCACCGCAAAACGTTTCCGCTCCACACCGCGAAGTTCGTGACCACGTCCCGGCTAAACCAGCCGCAAATACCCACGATGGTCCGCACTCGCTTGCTTCACTTTGACGGCAGCGAACGGATCGCAACACGGCCCACGGTCCTTGCCGAGATGCTGCTGGCTCCCAGACGGAGAGCAGACCTGCGTATCACGTGTCACCGCCGCGTCGAGGCTGGTCGCATACTAGCCTCGACGCAGCCGGAAGACGTCACTGTAGGCTCGTATGCACCTTCTCGTTGGCGAGTGTTAAAGCACATGGATAGCTGTTAGCACCTGTCTGATTGTAACAGCTCGTTCTATCTCCCGATATGTTTGGGCATGCAAAGTTCTTCAGCGTCGCGCGTAGAACTGAAAGAGGGAAGGCATATGAGGCAAGGATCTCTCGCTTGGATGACAAGTCGCACCTATCGCCCCGGGCCTGGCTCTCCAATCGATCGCAACACTTCTCATCTCTTCGTACGAGCTTGGCCTGCCTAGGAGCCTTTCCCCATAGGTTGGTCAATAAGTCGGCGGGAATACCAAACGCGGTTTCATTGGTCTCTCGTAACGTCTCCCAGCGCGTCTCGGCCACTCCGATGATAAATCTCATTGCTCCATGCCTGAAGTAATTGCGCATGAGAGGGTCCCGCAGCCTCCCTGCACGCCCCCTCCGCGGCCGGCATGCCCCGCAGCGACCTCTTCTCAGCTATCTTTGTGGTCCTGATGTGGCACCATCCTAGCTCAAGGGACCTTGACCTGGACGAGGTCGGTCGTATATGCGCAGCTCGATCACCAGTCTGGCCACGCTGGGAAGTCGCTCGTGGAAATTCCGCAGAATGCATCGTCTTCTGATGCCATGGGAAACGTGCGATAACCCTTCGACCCTTTTTACGACGACGTTAATCGAAATTGAAGCCGGCATAACGCGCCACGAGCCGGCACGTCTCCGGTTGTAATCAACCGCACGGCGCGGGGCGCGGGGTTCAAGGTTGGGTGCAGAATTTTCTGGATTTCTCTCAAACTAACCGCCTCGTCCCAGCACGCGTCGGCCGTTACCTGCACAGCTGATGGGCAGTGGGCAGCGCCCGCGGGCGCGCGGCCGTCGGCGCCGGGGCCGCGCCATCGCCGTCCCGGCCCGGCGGACGGCCCATTTAGCGACGATTAGCCTGATGGGAAGGTCGACACCGCCATGCCGCGGCGTGACCGCTCGTTTCACAAGGCCCGCCGGTCAGCGCGGTGATGACCGCCACTCCCGCGTACCGAAATCAACAATGAGAAATGTGACGGACGGCTTGGCGTGGGCCGACGCCCGGCGGTCGGGCCGGGTCGGGTCAGGGGTCGGCCCGTTCGCCCGGGGTCAGTTGCGGCGCCAGGCGCCGTCAGGCGCGCCAGACTGGATTTCGCAGTCGCAGCCGACGAGTGGGCCCGGCTGCCGTGATTAATATGGGGCATTTGCATGCAGCAGTCGGCGACCGAGTTCGCCGCCGGCTTGAGATGAGCATGAGTGTTGGGATGACGCCGGCTAGGGCGCCCCGGACAGCGCGGGGCAGAGGTGCGCCAGGGGCGACTGTGATGAGCACAGGTGTACGAGCGACCGCGGCCAGGGCGCCTCGGACAGTCCGGGGCACGGCTGCGCCAGGGGTGGCTGTGATGAGCACGGGTGTACGAGTGACCGCGGCCAGGGCGCCCAGACAGCGCGGGGCAGAGGTGCGCCAGGGGCGGCTGTGATGAGCACAGGCGCTTATCACATCATGTTTCTAGTACGACACCCCCACTGAATCTGCCGAAAGTTTTCGAATTGCGTGTCCGCGCTGCGGGGAGAACGCTGAGCTTCTTAGCGTTAAGTTTTCAACTACATGCAGTGGCAAATAACTCTAAAATCACCATTTTGCCGTGGTAGGATCCAGCTCGCTGTGCCGTAGCCGAATAGCATGAATAATGTGCTGCTTGTACACGCCAACCTATTACGTTCCAGGAGGCTCCAGATGCAAGCTTTGAGAAATATCCCAGAGCATTGTTCGAGCTGGGGGAAAAGATGCAATAAGAATCGTGATGCAGCAGAAAAGTCGTCTTAAACTGGTACATGCATGCCGCAACTACAGCAATGATGAAAATTATCACCATCAATCCTTCTAGAGCGCTTATAGCGCTAGAGGCTAACTGGCTCGACAAGACTGGCCGGAAAAAGCACAATCGTAATAAAATATTGTCCGCCGAGACAAAAAGCATGAAAATATGACTAAAACTTTAAGAAAACAGCGTGCATTTGCGCTCAGTTGGCTCGGCATTCTGGCATTTCACGTAAAGATGCATAGGAACGAGCCTGTTTTTTTCTTCCCTCAATCTCGGGGAGATTACAATGCACTCATTGCACCAAGCTCCTGCGTATGTCTTTAACTGAAGCCTTTGGGGAGGCTCAGGTCCCTGGTTTGGTGGGAGTATTGTGCATCTGTAGCATAAGGTTGCCCACCGACCAAGCGCTCACGGTGTAACCCAGTGGGTGTTGCGGAGCCCAAACACTACACAGGCACGGCGGTGAACCGTGGCACGGTTCACTGATGGCAAAGGAAAACGCGTGGGCCGCGACATCCGATCTTTGTTAGTCTAACGTTTCAAAAGTGATACGGCTTCTTTATGACTACCGTGACTGCTACAGTTATCAACGGATTATGCTGAGACGCATATGACCGATATTGCATATGAGGTGCTTTCTAGTTGGGTATATCGTTTTTGCAAAAGCGTAATGTTTTTGCATTATGCTTGCATAAAAAGATTGTATTTATGTGCGGTTGAGGTCGCTTTTGTCCAGTGGGACACGGTCGGCGCGACACGGTCGGCGCGCTTGCCGGCGACCGGCGAGGCGAACGCCACCGACGACAGTGGACACGGTCGTCCCGGGACGAACGCCACCGACGACAGCGGACACGGTCGTCCCGGGACGAACGCCACCGACGACAGTGGACACGGTCGTCCCGGGATGAGCGCCACCGACGACAGCGGACACGGTCGTCCCGGGATGAGCGCCACCGACGACGGTGGACACGGTCGTCCCGGGATGAGCGCCACCGACGACGGTGGACACGGTCGTCCCGGAACGAGCGCCACCGTCGACGGTGGACACGGTCGTCCCGGGACGAACGTCACCGAGAGCCCGCCGTGACGTCGTGCGCGCCGCCGCGCGCGGCTGAGAAGCTGCGAGCCAGGTGAGCGATGGCACGTCCACTCTTCCCCGCCTGCGCTCGCCGCCGAGAGTGCGGGCGGGGAAGAGCGGAGGCTGCGACCCTTATCACCGTACGCCGCCGGGCCGCCACACCGTCCGGCCTCGCTCCGTTTTCAGCAGCAGCGCCGGCCGCGTGCCGGGGCTCCGCACACTTCGGTGGGACGAGACGGATCTGCGGGCAGCTGGGCTCGGGAGCAGGCGTTCAGACGAGCAGAGAAGCTTACAGCGGCAATTAACCTCTGAAGCAGGGTCGAGCGGTGCCGTTTCAGAGCTAGCGATACGGTCGTTTTGCTCCGAGACGGGCGGTCTGGTTTTACGAGCACACGTAGAGCATCATCCTCTCTGCAGGCCTTGCGTCAGTTTCGCGTACGTTTGCCCTCTGGCAAGAGAGCCGCTAGTAGTTCTCAATGTCAATGTTCAGGAACACGCGCCACCAGTCATCGATGTTGTTTTGTTTCGATTTGATTGATTGATTTGATTGATTGATTTGATTGGTTGATTTGATTGGTTGATTTGATTGATTGATTTGATCGAATTTGATGATTGTTTTGTCGAACGACTGTGTGTGACATGCTGCGTGTTTTTTCCCTTGCGCACTTGCATGACGCCGCCCACGAAACACCGGCACGATTACATTTCTATTACAATTGGATTTTCTTTATTGCATAATACAGAACACGCAAAACCTCAGCAACCGTCACAGCGCAAACGCAACATTTAGATCACAACAATAAAGCTGATATAGTCTGAGGTGAACACCGAGCATTGCGGAACGAAATCTGGAATGGTCTGAGACGCACACTGTGCAGCTGACATATTCGATGGCAGTCTAAACAAAGACACCCGTACACCAAGACCTCGAAGGCAACATTCTACAGAAACTCAACAGCCAGCATGCCGATAAATACCATTTCACTCGCAGATTTGCGTGTCTAATTCGCGCGAGCCTCATCACTGGCCAGTGTTTCCCAGGCCACTGCCACGACCCTGCTGTCCACGCTCTGGCCTGCGGCGAGCTATCAGCAGCACCACGTCCGCGTCGGCGGGTTACCAGCGGCGGCGCAGGCCGTCCGGGCCGGTGCAAGCGCGACAGCGGCAGCGGCCAGCGGCACCCACCCCATGCGGAATGCAGGCTGTCGCCGCCAGCCGGGCGTCTCGTGAGAACAGCGCCAGCGCGTGCGAGGCGGCGGTTGTGGCGCAGCGCGAGCCGACTGAACAGAGATCCCCGAGATGGGCAGCGGTGCCTCCCGTGAACAAGAACTGGCGGTACTGGTGCGGCCCATCGTCACCCCACTCTGCCGACCCTGGCCGTGGCGCGACCCAGATTCATCTGATGCCTGGACGTCACGTGACCGCACCCGGGGGGGGGGGGGGGGCGGCATGTCACGTGACCGGCTGCGTCATCTCGGAACGGCCGGCGTCCCGGCGCTGTCCACTCGGCCAATGAGCGGGCGCCCCGCTGTCACATGAGCGCCACGTCACGGGCCGCTCGACCAATCATCGCCGGTCTCGCGACATCAGAGGCTGCCTCACCTGAAACATCAATCAAAGTTAATAGTCAAACACCTCAGTACCTCTCCTCTCACGTACCAGATATCTGCATGGCAGAGTGTTACATGCAGAGTTTGCAAGTGGGGAGCAGCACTGGTAGCTGGCCTCCGCGCCAACGCATTGTGTCTATAGCATTGATTCGCAGTCTACCGTGCGGGGAATGATAGGGAATGTTTTTACAGCTCGCACGTGGCCAACCGCAGAACCCTTGATTGTGAAAGATGCTTAGCACACACTGAAACCAATGGTAACCGAAACTAAGCCCAATGAGCAGAAACAGCCACAACGAATCATCAGCTTTGTCACAACAAGGTTTCATACCGGCCGCTGGCAGGCAACCAAAACTCCTTGTCATTCCAGCAAACATGAAGCTGCTTGGCTGACCAGATTTACAAAACTGACATACACCATGACAAAACAGCGGACAAAAAACATCCATTAGCGAGCTTCGAACCGGGGACCTCTGGGTCACGCAGGAGACGCCCGAGCGCCGGCCAGCGCGGCGTGCGCCGGCCGCCTGCTGACCCGCAGAGTGGTGCAGCTGAGCCAGGAGCGCGGCGTGGCCATGTCGGCCGAGTCGTCCCAGCGGTCCGCCGCCGGCGTGTAGCGCTCCACGCTCTTGTGGTACATGTCCCAGCCCTCCTCGCCGCCCAGCACGTAGATGTGGCCGCCCATCACGGCCGCGCCTGGCGACGGTGGCCGCGCGGGCTCGTCACCGACCGTGCCGTGCCGCCGGCGGGCGGGGGCAGTCGGCGACCGCGCTGGGCCCGCACACGGGACACGTACGGGACAGTAACCGACTGCACTGCACTCATAACACGCGCGCGCGCGCACACACACACGCACGCATGCACGCACGCACGCACGCACGCAAGCAAACACACACACGCACGCACACACACGCACGCACACACGCACACATGCACACACGCACAGCAACATATGTGAGGCGCGACTGGTGCTGGGAAAACATGACGCAGACTGGCCTCTGCTTTAACGTGGCCAGGCCCGTTACCGGCTGCTCGGCTGGGTAGGGAGACGGCGGAAGGGAAATCTGAGCTTGATTTAAGCGCAGTTTGAGAGTGTGAGCGTAGGTGCGTATGAGTGAGAGTACGGGTGAAGGGTCAGTGGATGCCTGCAAGGAAGGGAGGAGGCTGGCAACCGTGTCTTGGATATGACCGACACTTGGTACGGGTCTGGTGAAGGATGCAGCGAACAACACAAGACACTGAACATCGACTGTACTCACTCAACAAAAAACTTGTAGAGACACACTACTCCTACTGCGTGAGGTCATCCTTTAAACACGCATGAACGCACGTACGCATGCGCGCGCACGTCACTACGGTGACACTGAACCGAGCGCTTCAACCGCTGACGGAGTATTCTCCTCAAACGCCGCAGCCCGCAGCATGGCTGCTCACAGAGAGGAGCTCGAGCGCAGCTGGGCGACAGCGGTCACACGTCCACCTGGCGACAACTCCTGCGAGCTGAGCCGGGCAACTTCCGGGCAGCTGACCCGATACCGCGCGCCGTGCCCCGCGCCACCGACCTGGCCGGTAGCGACGCGCCCGCATGGGCGAGCAGGGGTTCCACTGGTTCTTGTGGATGTCGTAGCACTCCACCTTGTTGGTGTTCTCGGTGGCGCCGTGCCAGCCGCCTGCACGGGCAAGGGTCACGGGGTCATCAGCAGAGCGGCTGACCGGGTCACGGAGTCACCACGGACGCAGCTGGCCACGCCACTTCGGGACAAGACGGACCACACCTTCATCAAGCTTTCAAACACAACGCCCGTCCAAACCAGTGACGTCACGCCGACTTTTGCCGACGCAAACAACGACACAACAACTGTATTCCATGACGCACAATGGGATGTAGTTGTTTCGAATGAAACCAAGGTCTAGTGTATCAACCCCGGCGGAGACGACGAGGTTTATCGTCTCTGAGGTCTGGCCGTTCGGTGCCCGCTACCACAACCACTCTGGGCGGCCTGCCGCGGCTGCCCCTAGCCATCACCAAAGTCGCACCATACGCACCACCGCGGCTGCCCCATATGCACCACCGTTCATCACAGCCACCCTATACGGATCACCACATCTGTCCCATATTCACGACGGCAGTTCCCCCTACGAACCACTGGAGCTGTCCCATATGCACCACCACGGCTGCCCCATACGAATCATCACGGCTGCCTCATACGCACTATCACAGCTGCCTCATGCGCACCATCACAGCTGCCTCATACGCACCATCACAGCTGCCTCATACGCACCATCACAGCTGCCTCATGCCCATCACCAGGCCACGCTTACCGCGGCGTCCCGCCCGTCCTCACCTATGACGTAGAGTTTGCCGTCGAGCACGCAGGCGGCCGAGCCGCTGCGAGGGATCAGCATGGGCGCCAGCTCCGACCAGGTGCGCGTGCGCGGGTCAAACCGCTGCACGCTGGTGATGCCGTCGCCGTCCTCTCCGACGGCGCCGCCTGCCAACACAGCGGGTCATGTCAGGTCAGGTCAGGTCAGGTCAGGTCGGGTCAGGTCAGGCAGGCCGCGCTCGGTCGGCCCCTGCGCGATCGGTGTGGTCAGCATACAGATGATGATCAACAGCTTGCCAAATGTCATATTTCAGAGGATTCCATGGTTGAAACGGGCACCCGTCCGGCCTCAGGCGATCAACAGCAAGTGATACCATCAGGCGGAAAGCTGTCAGAACCTTTGGTTTTATATTGTTTAAAATAAAATGAAAAAAACGGCGAAACGGCTTCAGAAGTCACTAATGACGCTCGCGAGACCAGCACGAGCAGACCTCCCGCCAGAGCCACCCCACCCACCGGCCACGTAGAGGTAGCCCTCGTAGGCGACGACGGTGGCGGAGGTGATGCCCGCCTTCAGGCCGGGCAGCTCCTCCCACGAGTTGGTGTCCGTGTTGTACCTGCGGCCGACGGAGGCGAGGTCAGCGGTCGAAAGGTGAGGTCAAGCGGGTGTGAAGCCGCCGTCCCGGCCAAGACTCGGCCCAACGCCAGGGGCACCCGCGGAGGGGCGGCGGTTCACAACATCAGGTTCGTCCGACGTTCAAAGCAGCTGCTGTGTGCTCTGCACAGAGGATGTAGAAAGTGTGACTCCCACGAGTGCCTTGCTCGGATGACCCCGACAGCCAGGAGGGCCTTGTTCGGGTGCGTTGCTCCCCGGCGGAGAAGCCCGCGACAGCTCGGTTGCGTGTTTTTAACTGGGGCGGTGGTCCCAGGGGCTATACGGGTCAGGTCCCTGAGCGCGAACTGGCAGACTGGGTTTACTCGGGCTCGAGGTACGCGCTGCGTGCGGGAGTCAAACCCAGCGTGTCAAGTTCAAGTGTGAGCTATCGGGGCGTCCGCCCTATCCGAGGACGGCGGCCGCGGCCGCAGACGCCGCCGGCCGGCCGAGCGCCGCCGGCGCCAGTCCGCACCTCTCCACCGAGTCGAGTCGAGACGTGCCGTCCCAGCCGCCGGCCGCGTACAGGAACCCGTCCAGCACCGCCAGCCCTGCCGCCACGGAGCGCGAGCTCACCAGCCGCCACGGAGCGCGAGCTCACCAGCCGCCACGGAGCGCGAGCTCAACAGCCGCCACGCCGCCGCCGCGCGACAGCCCGCCCGCAGGGCACGTGGGAGGCAGCGGGATCGGCGGTTCGCGGCGTGGCAGACGGGAGCACACCGCTAGGTAGGGATGCGGCGCACACAGCACAGCCAAGGCTCATCACTACACGCACTGCTACAACCCAGCAGTGGGGCTGCCATTTAGCACCACCGTCAGCGTCAGCACCACTAATGGTCGCGCACCGACCGCTCCGGCTGCGCGGCGGGGTTACCGTTTGGGATTTCGAATCGATCTCTGTGGAGCAATTAGGCGTGGTAGTAACGAGTAATCCCACGTGGCTGATGCAGTGCCCTGATTGTGATACGGTTAGCGGAAAACGCACCCACGGCGTCCAAATCAAACGGTATCGATCTAGCGCAAAGGTAGCCACACACCTCCACATAGCAAACTACGCATCCCAAATGCATCATAAGTTAATGGGAATCCCTCCATCAAAACCCTCACCCCCATTCCCGTAATCCAAGCCAGCCAGTGCGTCACCAAACCCCAACACAGCCCGCTCCGCCTCCACACATCCACATCCACACGCCCGTGGACCAGCACCCGGCCGGCCCCGCCCTGACCCGGACGCGCTCGCGCCGGCGCCGGCGCCCACTGACCCAGCTCCGAGCGCGCGTACGCCATGCTGGCCATCTCCTCCCACTTGTTGATCTGCGGGTCGAAGCGCAGCAGCTGCTTGCTGGCGATGCCGTCGGGGAACTCGCCACCGGCCACGTACATCACGTTCTTCCCCGTCACCACCGCGCCGTGCTTGCTGCCGAGGTCACGGGGCGCAGGTCACGATCCAGAGGTGGCGGGGTGGGGACAGCCGTGTTCCAGGCACTTCGTCAGTGTCGGTGTTCGGTGTTAACGGGGAGCCACCGGGCACACACCACGAAAAACAAGGGCGTGAAGCTCGATAACAAGCCCGTAACACACAACAAAAAAACATGACTCTTAACTCATAAGTCATAACAAGCTCGATGAAGCCCGGTGCTGCAGGGCTACAGTGGCTCGTACGGACAACACTACCCCCCCCCCCCCCCCCGCGCGCGCCCACCCGCCTGCCCGTTACAGCCCCCTGCACCGCCTCCAGTCCCATGGTGAGGGGGCCGGGCTGCCCCAGTCGCCGTCCTTCAGCGCTGCTCGGGGCGATTCCCAGCACCCGTTTCCAGCCGTCCGCACATCAGCCCTCGAGCTCGCCACAGCCCCACCCCACCCCCGCCCCCACCCCCATCGTCGCCGCCGCGCGACGGGAGGAAGCCCTCTGACGCAGCGATCTCGGCGCTCGAGAACCCTCCACCACCTCCACCCAGACAGACCCGACCCGCCACCCGCCCCAGCTCACGTTCTGTAACGGTGCGCGGCGACCAACCGACCAAATCAGCGCCCAGCGAGCTCCAGCCGCGACCGGGATTCGAACCCAGGTTTTCGGGGTAGAAGCTCACTGTTCTGTGGGCTCCCTGGCCGCGGCGCCGGCGGCAGGCCTCACCTGACGGCGAACGGCAGGTTCTCCAGCGAGGCCCACTGCTTGCAGACGGGGTCGAACCCCTCCACCGAGCGCAGCACCACCCGGTCGTCCTCGCCTCCGGCACACACGATCACCTGCCGCCGATGGCCGGGTGGTCAGCGAGTCTGCCTGTAGCTCGAGAACTCAGGTTCGATCCTCGCCGCACGAAGCTTTTTACCGTCTTAATTCCATTGACACGTGGCGACCTTTACCATACGGCCAGCTGCATGCATCGGCAAGTAATCGGCTACCGTGATGGAGGCTTGGCGGCACGGCCCGCCGGTGGCATAGTCTGGCTTTGGTGATGCGATGAGCTGCTGCTTGGCCGCCGCAGCGCGGCAGCGGCGCCAGCTGGCGCGGCGACGTCAAGCGCCCTGACCGGCACGGCCACGCCACCCGCGCCGACAACACGCAGACTGGACACGCGACCGCTCACAGAGGGGACGCCCGTGCCTGGCCGTACGGGCGAGGAACACATCCCGGCTGTTTTGTATTCAGCGTGCCTGCCTTTGCACGGTGAACGCGAGACAGCCAACACGTGTCAAAACCGGGCCATCTCCACTCTCAGCTCGCGTCGTCCTAAAGCCTCAACGGCCAGCGTCACTACCAGAGCCGCTGCCGCCGGCGTCAGCATCGACACAGCCCGTGCCGGAGCGGCTGAGCCCCATCTCGGCGTGGACGAGATCCCCATCAGCGTCGGTGTGGCCTGTGAGGCCTCAGTCACGCCGACACGAGCTCGCGCTGTCAGCCGGCCCGCGTCGAACGGCACGGCCACCACCGCCGCCACTCACGTCGATGAGGTCGGCGTTCTTGCGCGGCCGGGTGCGCGCGCTCTGCATGTCGCCACGCCGGTCCGGCAGCAGGTGGTACAGCCTGTCGACGGTGTTGGGGGCGGGGTCAGCGTGCACGTGCCCAGCGGTACACAAGCGGGCGGAAGCTGCACCTTACAGCGTCCGATGACTGCAAGGAGAGCCGGCTCGGCTGGCGGCAATTCGGACCAAGGCTGACGTTCTTGAAGAAATGTTTATGTTTTCACGCCGAAACAAATGTTCCTTTTGAGACATAACACGTGCAAAAGCGATCAACTAACCAAAAACCACTACGTAATCTCGACTGGCCTACCTAAGATCAGTATGTGTTATGGTGCTTTGAAATCCGTTTTTGATATTTCACCAGCTCCTCGAAAATTTAAACTGTCAAAAAGCACTTGATTCTTGGGCTCTTGGAGAACCCCACCACTTCCAGAGGGATGGGAGGAGAGTGCACCCCCAATGGGCTACGTCACGGAGCGGTAGCTTCCGCTCGTCTGTCCTGCTGTCCGAGGCGTACGTACCTGGCCTCTAGCAAATATCACCGTACGTACCTGGCCTCCTCCAGCAGCGCCTGACACTCGGGCGAGGTCCGCACGATCTTCTGCTTGGACACGCAGTCGTGCAGGAAGTAGGGCGACAGCAGGGGCAGGCGGACGCTCTCCAGCACCTGGCGACAGGCGGGCGGGTGCGCGCTCTCATCTGAGGCGGTCGCACTTCTGGCCGGCACACGACGACGTCCATTAAATTCATGACAAACACAATACGATGAGCTATACAACGAAATAATTATATAATTAAATAATATAATTCAGTCACAAAACTCATCACCTTCTCCATAAAAACGAGCCTGTGTTTTGAAAAAGAGCTGTGGCCTGTGTGGTCTCCTGTGCGATCCAAGCCGCCCGCAAAATGCCTGCATGCGGTGAACTCGGCCTAGTCACCGAAGCGGCTTCAGTTATGGGAATATTCTAACTCGATCCATGACTTAAAATGTCGCTGGATCAAAGGATCGGTGTCGCGCCAGTTTTCGGGCACGACACCGCGATCCGTTTCTTTTCGTCCTGTTGCGTTTGTCTCCTTCGCGTCTCCTTTCTAATATTTCGGTTATATTTGTTCACTTTTCCGTTTCAGTGCCACCACACCACAACCATATTTGCAAAAACCACAACCTGAGCCGCGTGCCGCGGAGACTCACCCACAGCCCCCCGGATCCGCCGGGGAGAGCCATTGCCATCACAGCACCCACCGACGCCCCGCGCCCCCCTGCCCTCCCCTCGGTGAGGCGGCCATCGCCATCACACCACCAGCCGACATCCCGGGCCATCCCTGCCCTCCCTTCGTGACACGGCCATCGCCATCACACCACCAGCCGACATCCCGGGCCATCCCTGCCCTCCCTTCGTGACACGGCCATCACCATCACAGCACCGGCTGACGTCCCGCGCCACCCCTGCCCTCTTCCCCCCTCCCCTCCCCCTCCTCGACCCCGTCGGTGTCGCCGGCGACGCACCTTGTCGAAGCCCTCCTTGCGCGCGTCCGGCTGATGGCTGAACCAGTTGAGCACGGCCGTGAAGACGTCCTCCTCGCGGCACACATTTACCGCGTCGGAGGAGATCAGCTCTACCAGCTTGGCCCGCGACAGGTTCAGGAACTCCTCCTGCGCGGCTACGTCGCTGAAGTAGCTGCGGGCGTCGGCTCGGGTCACGCCACGCCCCCCAGCCGGAGCCGGAGTGACGTCTATTTCACCACACAGAATTGGGATACGATGTCCATGCCGCGTGGCCTCCACAATAAAGGTTTGTATTGTGCAGGATGGGTTCAAGGATAATGGTTCGCTACGAAAACGCCGAAACACTGATAAAATAAATGTCATCAAGCATGAAGAGGATCGCCGTGATAATCCCTGCTTCAACCCACAGCAACAATTCGCTCATGCACGTTTGACCAACAGCACGTCATGTATGAGCGAATAAAACAGAACACGCTCAAACCAAGGAGACACGCTAACACCACAGTGAGCTTCAGAACACGGTGCAAACCAACGTTAGATGAGGCAGGCAGTCAACGACTGCTGCAGCGAGCCTTTCGCCACCGCCTGTCGCTGCCACGTACGTGAGGGCGTACGACTTGGCCACCTCCTGCAGCCGCTCGCAGTTCATCGTCTCGGCGAAGCAGTGGATGCCCAGACAGTTGGATGCGTCCATGTGCTTCTCCATGAACAGCGAGCAGGCGTCACGCACAGCCAGCACCTGGCGAGCGGACGACAAAGTTCAGTCGAGCCGCTCCGCCACTAGATGGATCGATGCGATGTGGCTGTTGCGTGGGGAGAGGCGCTAATGGACAGCCACACAGACATGGTTGACAGAACCTTTGGCACAATGTACGCAATGACGAATTTCGCAGCGCGTATGCTGCGTGCTGACAGCGTCACCCGAATCGCACATCATTTATTACCGGGCTGTACAACACATCGCAAAGGTCAGCTGGGGAATGTAAACTGAATGTCAAAAGCCGCCATTAAGACCATCTCACAGCACTAACGCTACGCGCAAACTGCGGATCTCTCGCGACATTGGCGCTCGAAGTACGCGCTACCACAGGGCATGCTACAGCTGTTGTCAGTGTCCAAAAGGAACGAGAATGCAGATAAAACGAATAACCTGAGGAACATTTGACGCAATGAGGCACAAGACGGGGAGATTACTGAAGCAAACACGATGTACAAATTGATACCTTGGAAGAGGTACCGGGGTTGGGGGTAGGGTGGAGGGGTGTTACTAACAAGAAAGAGGATACGCGACATCAAGCCCTGACATAAGCAGGCCCTCAGAGCCCACGAGCTACGAGCTACTAGCTACGAGCTACGAGCTAGAGCTACGGCGAGCCACATCACCATTCCCGCCCACAATGCAGGCAAAACACAGACAAACACGGAATACTACAAGTTAGGACTACGACAGCGCGGAGCGGCGCCACAGCCGAGCTGGAGCAGCCCACGCGCCAGCAGCTGCCCGACCTGGACGAGGTTGGACGCGGCCATCAGGCTCTGCACGTTGCTCTGGTTGATGACGACGGCGCCGGTGTAGGCGTACTGCAGCAGCACCTCCAGCATCGCCGGCTCCAGGCCGTTCAGGGTCACCTCCTCGTCCTGCGACTCCTTCAGCTGGCTGGTGAACATGGCCTGCCGCAGCACGGCGTCCTGGTCAGCACCGCTCACCGACAGCGAACGAAACCACCGGACAGGAAGATTACCTTAACATCTTACGCCGCACGCACACGCGCAGCTGGAACAAGGTCCGAGCGTTGAGTGGATCAAACAGACAGTTTGTGTCTGGGATGCTTGTGCACATGCACATAAACGTGAGAGTTGAGTATTGATCAGCCTCTTGGCGCAGAATCTTGGCTGTTGACCCCCTCGCCCCTTCTTCCCTAGACGGTTTGTGCCTGGTGACACTCGTGCACATGCACATAAACGTGAGAGTTGAGCATTGATTAGCCTCTCGACGCAGAATCTTGGCTCTTGACTCCCTCGCCATATCGCCTCGCCTCGCTCTAGTGACACGGATCTAAAGTTCACACCAGTATTTGTGTCAGAGGGCGTATGGAGTGGACAGAGCGGAGGGGGCGGGGGCGGGGCGGCGGCGGAATGACAGATATGCCACGCACGCGAAATATGAACTACGACTACGGACACTTCAGGATACTTGAGACTTGAAGTGAACAGGATGCCTGCAGATACCTAAAGAGAGCAAGAGAACTAGATAAAAGGCGTGAAAATAGCGCGTCGCAAGCAGCACGACAAGAAAAAAAACGACATATATATGCACGGTTGGCAATATTCTAAGACTACATTGCAAAATGATCTTGAAATGGGGTTGCAGCTGTGATCATGCAGCAGCTGCAGCTGTGCAGCTGTGATTATGTCATGTAAAACGCTACAGCAGATTTGCCAGTATACCCGCACCTATCACTCTGCCTTACGCGATCCCACCTCTAACCATCACCAGATTCGCACACTGGGAAACGTCCGAACGTGCCGCTGGCGTGATTTTCGTGAAGACCGCGGCACGTGACGCGCGAGGTCCGCACCGCGAACTGTTGTGACACCACCAGCGCCACAGACGTGTCGGAGAGGAGGGGGGTGCCGGCGAGACGTGTCAGCACCCCGGCCGGAAGGGAGGGGGGGGGGGACATCGGACGGGGGGAATACGACTGAGGAAGATGTCTCCCATCCAGAAAAAAAAATGTCTAAACGTCAAGCAACGGACGGATTGCAGGTAAAGTAAAGTAAAGTGGCCCGACTACGGGCCACTTTATATTTCCACTGTAATAAAGTAACGTCTACGGCTCACAATCTAGCGGACATTTTGCCTGTCAGACACAAAACGAATAGCATTTATTCTGAGGTGTGAACCAGCCTATCTTTACGCACAGGCTGCACATACGCGACACTGCGGATCAGAGGATGTATGGCTCGACAGACCGCAAGGTCAGTCTTGTGTCTCATCATTGTGTTCTACCACAATACTAATAAGACAAAAATACGTTTGATCACTTGCACCACATCAAAGCAATGCCTGTCGACACAGAGACGAAAATGCCAAAAACCCTCCTGCAATATACACAAAAATGTTTACGAATGCAGATGTGACAAACACACTCTTACGTCCCACCGCACTATCGACGAAGTCTCAGGCCATTTGCGGCCCAGCGCATCACGAACTCCGTCACGTTACCTCCGAAATACGCCGCGGCCCAAAACTGAGCTCGGGGCTTCCATCAGGTCAACATTCGCTGATGAAAGCTCCACCTAACCTGCCACGCGCTGTCCCAGTCGCACCGCGACGCAGTTGACTGCGCACGGTCCGCGATCAATGAGAACGAACACGCGCAAAAATCGAAGCCTCCAGCTGGGGTGGTCGGGCGTTATGCGCAAGAACTGAGCCTCACCCGCCCGTCACCGCGCAACAAACACAGCGGCGGCGGCGGTAACGGCGGTGGCGGCGGGGAACACCCGCTGGCACGCCGGCTCCTGGTCAGGCCGCCCCGGTGCGGACGAGCGCCGCTGGCGATGTGAGCGCCAGCTGCAAACTGTGAGCTCGTTCTCACCCGTTCCATGCGCGCACGGAGCGACAGAGGCTCCTCACTTGACCGGCGCGTGTCACTGTCACGCCATGACTACAATACGGCCAGTGGCAGATCCCCGAGCGGGAGCCGAACCCGGAGCAGCCGGAACAGGTCAGGGACTCGATCACTGACATGCTGGCAGTCCTCCCCACAGTCCATTCATGCCGCCTCACCGCCACCCTCTAGCTTCACCCAGCAGCTCAACTCCAGCCGCTCTGTCCGAGCGGCCGTCTACAGCCAGCGTTCCGCGCTGCTCGCAGCGGACGGCTCACAGCCGGACTCACCTTGAAGTAGGGGCTGGCCGAGGCGAGCACGCACTTGTGCGCCGGGAATCGCTGCTCGCCCACCCGCAGCACCACGTCGCAGAAGACCGTGTCGCCACGCAGCTCGTTCAGTCCGTCCAGCACCTGCAGCATGGCGCGGCTCAGCGGCGCTGGTGGCCGCTTGGGGGCGGGACTCGGGCAGCGGGGACAGGACTCGGGCAGCACTTCTCGAAGGCACAGCCGTCGCTCGGGAAGGGACTCGGGCAGCAGGGGACAGGACTCGGGCAGCACTCCTCGGAGGCGCGGCGGCCGCTCGGGAGCGGGACTCGGGCAGAACTCCTCGAAGGCACAGCTGTCGCTCGGGGAGGGACTCGGGCAGAAGGGGACAGGACTCGGGCAGTACCCCTCGGAGGCGCGGCGGCCGCTCGGGGGGGCGGACCGCACGCCGGCGACCGCGTGACAGCAATGACAGCGCCGTGGCCTGAGCAGGGCCAGGGGACGCCCGTGACGCAGGGCGGCCGGCCTCCGGACATCGCGGGGAGGGGGGGGGGGGGCGGCGGAGATAGAACAGACGCGCGGGTCAGGGACAAGCACGGGCACACGCACCACAGCGCCGCCACGAGTGGCAAGCAGACTAAGTGACATGAAAAGATGAGTAAACCACAAGCAGCTGGCATGAACTAGTTTTGAGTCAGTCATCACGCAGGGCCATCACACATACAAACGCGCGCGCACGAAGAGAAGGACGGAGAACGGCATTAAGACAGCGCAAGACACGGAGCTAGACCAAACGAGTTCGTGCCGAAACGAAAAGGCACGACAGTGGATACAACAAACTAATTAGCCTCGACATCTGGACGAGTCATACCACCCAATCGCTCACCGCGGCGCCGGTCGCGCCACTGACCGTCGCCGGCCGGCCGACCACGTCGACGTCGCACCCAGCGCTTTCGGTCGGACGACGCTGTCGCGAAGGAAACGACCGTTTCCGGGTGGATATCGCTCCCGTTTTTGTCCCAGTTATCGTCGCCTTCGGTTATTGTCTCCGCAAAAGGAATCGTTGTTCGGGTGAGCAGCGTGCTCTCATTGGCCAACGTCCCTGTGCGCGACCCGAGTGCTCTTGAGAGGGCGGCCTTGCCGTGTCGGTGCCGCCCGCCGTCGCGCGGAGGACGCCCTCCTGGAAACACCCCGCCCGCGCATGGGTGAACGCCACCGCCGTCCACGTGCCGACAGTTACGGTGTGGACGACGCCGCCGTCCACATGCCGACCGTTATGGTGTGGACGACGCCGGCGTCCACACGCCAACCGCTATGGTGTGGACGACGGTGCCGTCCACATGCCGACCGTTATGGTGTGGACGACGCCGCCGTCCACATGCCGACCGTTATGGTGTGGACGACGCCGGCGTCCACACGCCAACCGCTATGGTGTGGACGACGGTGCCGTCCACATGCCGACCGCTATGGTGTGACCGCCGACGGCGCACGCGCGCTGACCGTTTTCGGGTGGACGACGTTGTCGAACTTGTACTCGTCAGCCGCGGCCAGGTCGTGCTCGAGGTCGTCGAGCGAGCCCTCGGACAAGCAGAGCGTCGAGTCGAGACTGGCGCGTCGCGGCAGCGTGTTGGCCATCCACGTGATGGGGCGGAACGGCTGCAGGAAGCGCACGTCCTCCCACTGGGGCAGGTAGGGCCCGGCGGCGGCCACCTCGCGGCCCGGGTAGCCCTGGCCCTGCGCCAGCCGCCGCGGCCCGGACGACCGTGACGACCGCAGCGGGTTCGGGATCATCGGCAACCTGTCGGCAGCGCCCAGCCGCCGCTTGGTGACCGGCGGCTCGGAGGTGAGACCGGGGGAGGTGGTAACCTCGGGCCCTGCCGTGGCAACGTGACAGGGATTGGGTTGGCGTGCCCCCTGCGGCGATACGGAAGGGGGGGGGGGGTATACAGCGGCCAGCCACTCTTGACAATGCTGCAGACGACGGTGGCACATGACCTGCCTCCGGGGCAGTTCAGGGAATGGCGATACATATCGCGTTGTCACAAAGTCGAAGGGTTGCGGGTCTGGGATTCTGCCGGGGCGCAGACGACGTTACTGAAACTGATCTTGGCAGGAGCAGCGAGGGAGCCAGCCACCAGCGGCACCCCTGCGGACAAACGGACGGCATTCGCGTGACTGGGTCACTCTCCGCAAGTCCAGAGAGATTACTTGAGATAGGGCAAGGTATAAGGATACATCAAGGATACAATAAGAATGACTAAATAATTGCATGTGCACTCACAATGGCTCATAAAAATCAAACAAATGTGTATGGAAATCCATGAGACGAACAACGGAACGAGTTCAATACAATGGAAACAAGAGAAGAAACAATAAAAGGGATACAAGGAAAGGAGCCATGTCTTTCGAAGATGTTCCACAAAACGCATCAAGATCAGAACTTTGGTTTCAGGACCCAAAGATTCATGGGAAGAGGGCATCAAGTTCAGAACATGACTTGCGAGAAAATTTTCAAATGCACCACCCATATAGGGCGTACATAGGGCACACCCTAGGACAGAAACTTCTTCGACAAAACGGTGCTTGGCGTTCGAACACGTGCAAGTTTCTGACATATATCAACTAAATATAAAAAACCAAGGGCATAACGAAGACCAACAAACAATTGTCTTAGGAGGCCAATTCGCAATCCTTTATGAAAAACATCGAAACACGCATCAACCTGGATTCACCTTGATTTTAAGACGTGGTTTTAGGGGCACCGCAGTAATGCTCTAGAAAATGGAGCAAATAGAATCTGTTGCTGACTGCTCATTGGTGATGACTTTCACTTAGCAATAACTGACGACTAACTGAGTGGACGTTAGGCTTTGCTGCACATGTCACAAACTCTTTTGAGTGGTTCAAGGACAAGACGGTAATCGATACCATCCAGCCTTAACCTTTTAAGGTTAAGTTTCCCTGGACCTCAAAACCTTGAAGACCTCCAAACCTCTGACCTCGGTACATGGCGTCGCAGCCACTTCAGCACTTTGCCAGCCATGTCCGAGCGTCGCACGCCCTTCACAGCAGCATCACCTCTCACTGGCCGGCCGGGGGCAGCCAACATAAAGGGGTTCGGCGGCCAGCCTACTCTGCCCGGCGTACCACGCCCGTCCGGCGGCCCTATCTGCTGTTCACGGGACGATAACAGCCGACACCGTCGCGCCGACGGCGGCCGCCTCGGGGAGCTCTCCACCGGTCCGAAACTTCCCTGGGTCAGGACTGCCCCCCAGGAACGCCACTCCAAACGGGCCCGCGGCCGGCGGGGCTGCCGGCTGGGGCGTCATTCAGACGGCTGGTAAGTACAAGCACCGAGGCAAATGTGAACTTTGGTGCCGGAGAGGACCGGGCTAAAACGCGAGCTTGCTTAACGCCTGACCGGTTGCGCTGCAGTAGTTTGTATGTCCGGGCATAGTACAACGCTGTTGCTGGTAGAGAACTGGGGCCTGTCGTGTTACTTTGATGCCAAAGAGGAATGTACTGCATCGTAGCATCATACAGATAACGTGCCGTTTGCAACATTCGATTTTTTGTCGAAAAGCGATATTCTGAAAGGCACCATGGGTTGTTATCCACCCTGTCCCTGCACAAGGGCGCAACACAACGCACGGCCGCATTCGGCGCTGTTTCCGGCGCGGTGTGTCGACTCCGAGTTCCCACAACGGCTGAGATATTGGACCTATCCTCGGGCATTTCGCCGCGCTTTCGTCCGTGATAACTTGACCAATCCAGTGAGTGATATATAAATCACAAAATAGGTATTGCTGTACGGAAATGCTGGCAAAAGATGGCTCAGCATTCAATGGTAATTGAGTATTCCAAAAAGGCACGACGAAAAGCTTTAAAAGGTCGCAGAGGCGCAAAAACGCGACGCAAGTGAATAGCATCTACGCCCCTAAAGGTGTCCAAGCCAATTCCTGCAGCGCTTTTCACACGCTTTAACGCGTTGGGCGAATCTTCGCATTCGGTCTGTGGTGGTGATGTTGATGGAGGAGAGGGGAATACAGGCGGGGCCTGCTATCTGTGACAGAGCCCGCTTGACTGTGGCAAACACTTGTTTAAACAGACCAGAAACGACTGATGAATGAGTCCAGGACACCATATGGTGTGACCTATCAGCGAGGCGATGACGTCACGCGCCTCTCACAAATCGGACGATCGTATGTAGGTCCCGACCTTGTCAAAACGGCGACGATGACACGGGGCCATACGAAGCCAACTGCCCCGTTTGACGTTGCTCCCCAAACTGCACCAGATCAGCCCTGGCTGCCCCAGTACCGCGGTCGGTCGGCGTATCTGCCCAGACTGTACTAAACCAGCCCTGGCCGCCCCAGTACCACCGTCGGTCGGCGTGTCTGCCCAGACTGCACTAAACCAGCCCTGGCCGCCCCTGTACCGCCGTCGGCCGGCGTGTCTGCCCAGACTGTACTAAACCAGCCCTCGCCGCCCCTGTGCCACCGTCGGTCGGCGTGTCTGCCCAGACTGTACTAAACCAGCCCTGGCCGCCCCAGTACCACCGTCGGTCGGCGTGTCTGCCCAGACTGTACTAAACCAGCCCTGGCTGTCCCAGTACCGCCGTCGGTCGGCGTGTCTGCCCAGACTGTACTAAACCAGCCCTGGCCGCCCCTGTGCCGCAGTCGGTCGGCGTGTCTGCCCAGACTGTACTAAACCAGCCCTGGCCGCCCCAGTACCGCCGTCGGTCGGTGTGTCTGCCCAGACTGCACCAGAGCAGCCCTGGCTGTCCCAGTACCTGACATGGGGTGTGTGCAGCAGAATGGGTACATGACTGATACCTGACATCATAAAACCAGAATTTTATGTCACATAAATGTTATGTCACATTATGTCATCAATGGAGCAGCTTAGCACTGCACAATGACTTACAGGATTATGTGATCCAGCAGGTCAAGAGATTTGGTCCACATTGTACATTGCAATTTTGTCACAGCAAGAACAGCAATGTGCTGCCTCTGGCATATTTCACATTATCATCTCATAGAAGCATGTTCCTCAGAAGAATATCATTTAGCTGCCACTGATGTTCCAGCCCGTCCCCCCAAATCCAGGGACAAGGGGAGCGGATGGGGTTAAAGGTAATATCTAACAACTATCCCAATGGCATCGCATTCATGGAACTTTCTCATTACAGCATCTTTTTTGTGAATCCATGTCAATAGCCAGATTGTGAATTAGGTTTGCTAGTCAGCAGGTAGCTAGGTGATGATAGACATGATGACACCCTGCATGGTTGCATTCACTCCAGAATACATTTGTGCCACAGCCATGGCTAGAAATATAGCCAGTAGAGCATTTAAATACCCTATCACAGCCCCACCTTGCACCAGATTATCAGGGGGACACCTATTCAATACTCTGAAAAATTTCACATTGCACCTGCTATACCCATGGGAAGGATGGCCATAGGATGCCCTATTTCCTTCAAATACGGTCCAAGATTTAACCCTGATAATGCTCCAATTACCACAAACATGGCTTCAAGGCATCAAGCTGCATTTGCTTCATTACCCTTGAACAATGGTTCTATTAACCCTCCATCTCTCGGATCCACCTGTAGACAAGTGTGGCAGTGGTGATGGTTTTCTTTATCATCAGCCAGAGATACCGAACCCAACCATAACTGTATTTTTATACCAGATTATGTGTTGTGCATGCACTTAATACAAATACATAAAAATTTGGTAGCCAGCATCTAAACAAGTTGTGTGCTTGGCAATATAAGAACAAAGTGCTAGAAGTGTGTTCTGCATAAAAGAGAGAAAAGAGAAAAGAGCAGGACAAAAGTGAAAAAGAAATTGTGCATGGTATAAGCACAGCTACCAAATCACAGCTTCAATGTCATTCATGAAAATGGAAGCTGGAAGATTGCTGCATGCCTAATATCATTCACTGTTTAACTTTTAGAATAAACTGCAGAATGTCATTCAAATAATACCTACAACTTTACAAAACTAATGTTATGCCATAAGGTCCTGAGACAGATAGTTATCTCAGCAGTTTGAGTAGGTTATTCATACCTTGTGTTTACACAAACAAGCAGTTTCACCAACACTTGTAGGGCATAATACAGCACAATTTTGGATTGCCTTAAAACAATCAAATAAATGACTGTCTTCTAGGCCTAAAAAGGCAAACAATATCTACGGCATGTTTGACAGGACTTCTTAACATGTCTAGGAACAAGAGATGCTGGGCAACTGAAGACAAACCATGAATTCATTCTGAATTCATTCCTTTTCTGAACCCACATGATAACATCACAGTTCTGGGATTTTGGGACCCTGAATTCTCAAATTCAGATATCCATGGGCACAAAAACAACACCAGGAATTGATCTAAATACATCTGCCCATCAACACAAATTGTGTAAATAGCTGTACCTCATAAATCATCTTTAATGGGTGAGTGCATACACATGGATACATGTACATAAAAATCAGTCATCTACACATTACCATTAGGGTTGTTTTGTTTCAAGCATGGTCAACAACGTAACAAAAAAATCGGCAGGCACCTACCACGAATACTACAACTTAGCAGAACTTCCACAATCGGTGGAAACTCGATGCACGTGCGCCTTGCCCTCCTTTTCCCACCAGCCGTCTACCGCAGACCGCGCGCTCGGTCCGACACGAAACGATCTGCACCCGTCCCCACCTCGAAACAACCCCGCGATGGTGCAAATCTGCTTGCAACAGCATGCAGCCAATCACAGCACGAGCACACCTCTCGCCAAGGCCGTGTAAGTATGGTAAAACCGATAGTAAAACCTTCCGGTGATTCTCGTTTCGTCTTCGAGTACCGCTGGCGTGACGTCACTGATGCCAAGACTCTATTGTTTGGTTGGCCTCTTTAAGCCGGATGCATTGCTGAGCGGCACGGCAGGAGATCCTGTGGGAATCAGGTGGTTGGTGTTCCAGACCCCCGGGCCCCGATAACCAAAAATCTGGGGATCCAGAGGGCTTAAGGGGACTTTGGGTGAGCCATATTCGGCTCACGCAGCTCGAAGGAAAAAAAGTGCTTAATGACCATTCCGATCCCCAATGGCAACCCCTGATTGTTAAGGGCTCTTTATGGTCGCTTAAGTGCTCGTCTGCATATTGAGGGCCCACTGGCGGCCCATCTGGTCACCAGAATTATTTAGCTGTATTCCTACGACTACCTGGACAATCCAATTTGTGTTGGATGCATCGAGTCTTTTGGCACATCAAAGGCCCTCCTACAATCAAGAGCCCTGGATGCTCGTGGGCCAAGTGCTACAGGAACAGTAAACAGCGGAATGTGCCTTCCAAGTACATCAAGAGGGTGTAGGGCTTTTGGGAACCTAAGATAATGGGCCTGATTGGATGCTTAAAGAGTTCCAAAGGCTAGCCGGAGGTCATGTTGACAAACCCCGGGCAGGGACCCTCGAATGTCATTAAGGGCGACCCCGCCCCGATTCCCCTGGTACAATTTGAGAGTCCCGTGTTGGCCAGGGTCCACAAAAGCCAAACAGTCGGCCCCGTGCCGACTGGAGAGCCCACTCTCCAAGCAGGGAAGGCCGGAGCCAACGAATGTCAGCCGTAAGATCTCCAGCATTGGACAGGATCCCTGAGACAATGGGGGGCCTGTATCGGCCAGGGGCCGCGTTGTCTAACAGAGGATTGCATGTCCGCAAGGGTATTTGAGTCGACCAGTGGGCAATTTGCTGAGCGGAGACGGGGACGGAGTCCCGAATATCGGAGGGCATTTGACATTGGTCTGGGCTCTCTGACAACAAAAGGAGATAGGAAAGGGATCACAGGGAGCAATGGAAGAACACGTGCCAGTTAAGCGTCCCCAGTACCGAACAGGAGCCCCCTGACCGCTTCATCCTCGGCCACAGTGCATTGAACTGGGCTCCCTGCGGCATTGATTGGACGCTCGCGCCAGAGACTACCCGGGGACCTTCCGGCCGCTCAAGGGTCACGTCAACCAGCCAGTGACATCCCATGGAATAGGCGGAGGGCAGAGAGGGCATGTGACCCCCCTCTTCCTCCTTTGGGTCTCGAGGGGCTCGAAAGGCCTCTCAGGACAAACGCCCGACCGGCTGGGCCAGAGGACCCGAAGGGCTGGTCGAAGTTCTTATTAAGGGGCCCGGTGCGCATGGCCAGCCCTCAGATGCCTGTCGGAGAGCCTTTTGTGCCGATCGGGAGCCCCTGAGTTGAAGAGGGCCTCTGTATCTATCAGACACCACGAGTACGAAGCAGCCGCCTCCGTGTCAGCCTGGGCCTGCGGGCCCATTTCTCAAGCAGGGACAAGACCGGTGCCTGAGATTTGCATTGGTCGGAGGCCCCGAGTCAATCAGGGGTCCCTGTGTCGGTCAGGGGGCCTGAGGACCTAACAAAAACCCTGCGTTGGCAAGGGACCCGAGTCGGCCAGGTGTAGCGTTGGAGGGGGCCTGAAGAACTGGCCAGACGTTGCATTTGGGCCATTTCCCGTCCGTAGTCCTGACCCTCAAATGTCGGTCAGAGGATCCGTTTTGCCGATCATGGGCCTCCTGAGTCGATGAGGGCCTCCAGGTCGATCAGGCATCACCAGTATCGAATAGTCTGGGCCTGAGGGCCCATTTCCCAACCAGGGACAAGACCGGGGCCCCTAGATTAACACCGGTCGGTGTTCCTGAAACAATGAGGAGCTACTGCATTGGTCATGGGCCAGGGTGCTTACCAGGGGGTCCTTTGTTACCAAGGGGTCCCGAGTCGGCCCCGGGCAGTATTCGAGGGGCCCGAAGAGTGGTCCGAAGGGCTCCTCGGGACCGACGACTAGGGGCCCGATTTGACAACCGCAGGGCCTAACTCAAATGCTAGTCAGAGCGCCGTTTGCCCCCTCGGGGCCTCCTGAGTCGATGAAGGTGGTCAGGCACCACTAGTACCGAACAATCAGCTCTATGTAGGTCTGACCCTTGGGGTCCATTTCCCAAGTAGGGACAAAGCCGATGCCCAACGTTTGCATTGGTCTGATCCCCTGAAATAGTGAGAAGCGCCTGCGTCAGTCAGGGGGCAATGCCGTCTGACAAGCATTCCTGTGTCTGCAAGGAGCTCCGAGTCTGGCAATGAAACTTTTACTGAACAGAAGTATGGACGAATTCCCGAATGTCAGAGGGCTTCCCGCCTTGGTCGGGTCCTGGCTGGGACCCGACCAAGGGATGATGGGATGACTGACAATGGGAGGAGATATGAGGACTTACAATGCAAGTCCACAGTAAGACAACGGAAGGCCCTGCTGTAATGACGGGCCACAATACCAAATAGGGCCCTCCGTCCCATTTCAGCCAGGGGCTGTTTAGCCGAACCGAAACCTCTTTGTTAATTATTGGACATCCTGTGGCGAAAATGAGGTGATCAGCGCTTTGCGTCAGTGAAGGCCCCTGTGTCGATTCGGGGTCAGCTTCTCAGGTCAGAGGGTCTCCCGTGTCAGGGAGGGGACCAACGGATGACGTGTCCCTCTGAGGGCATCCAGATGTCCAGGTTCCCCTGTGTCGTCAGAATGGTAGCTGGCAGGCACCACGCGCTGGAACGGAATGGTTCATCAGCCCCTGACTGGGAGAGATAATGTACCCCTCCCCTGTCACGCGGCTCGTTGCGCGGAAAAGGTGAAGGCTTTCCTCAGCGGTCAATGAGGTGAGTAAAAATGTGATCAATTTTTTTTTTAAACGCCAACCCATGTTTACCTGATGATGTCCATCCTGTTACCGAATCAACTACTGAAACGACTAGCAAAAGAGGATTTCGAGCTTGCGCTCTTAGAAGCTAGGACACTAATGGGGTTGTATTTTCCGTCAAACTAAACAGAATTGGCTGCTACAGGGGTCGGACGTGCGTGAGCGACCGTCGTGAAATAATGTTTCCGAAATTCGTTCAAAATCAATTCGTGTCATTCAAAGATAGCAGTGGGTTGTCTATCTTATCTGTAAGATTTTGAGGTTGTGTTCCGAACAGCTTGACAATTTCATCAACACGAAAAGTATAGCTTTTGCCCCTACCTTTGCAGTTCCACCTCCAGATTTCAGCACCAGTTCGCGTTGCTGTAAATACTAATCAGCTCTTATCATCAATCTAAAGATTTCACCGGTGAAATAGGCACTCGGAATTAACATAAAAAATGTTCTAATTGATGTACTCAAGCGTTCAAACGAACGTTTTTTTTTTTCACTTCCACCGTCCTTTTCATCCGTTCGTTGACCGACACCTAATGTAAGCGGCTGCCCGACGCCGCACAGCCTGCGGAGGCTACAACGCCGGACGTCGGGGTTTGTTCTTAAGACTTGCGAGGATGCATGTTCATAGCTTCCTTTAGTGCTCGCGCTTTATCCCATGTCGTCATGTAACGCTTGATTACTTCACTTCATTGACTTTAATATACAAAAGGAAGCGCATCTTCCTGTCACTTGTGACCTCCTGTGACCCCGCTCTGGACCTGATGAGTCCAAAGCGGTATCAGCGGAATCCAAAGCAGCGTCTGGTGGGCACAGGTTGCCCGATAGGAGGACTCGTTTCGAGGCGCGTAGCGCAAAGTAAGTGGCAAAATTGATTGATAAGCTAACGCAAGGTTTTGTTGACAAAATATAAGTTAAGGCAATGCCACAGCCACCTCATTGCTGAACGGTATGACTGCGACAAGTTTACAGTCCTAGATCGACTAGGAAAATTATGGGGTGGTCACACATATCAGCTCTGATGTGCTATGAACCCCAAGGAAATATGAATTATATAATAAATAAAATAATATAATAAAAGCGTAGGCAATTTAGCTCTAGTCCGAATTGTTTTGGGCGATTTCCAAACAATGGTAACGATGAACACGTTTTGCCAAAAATTTCCGCGCACTTTGGGCGTGTGAAAGTACTGGTGACTTGCCCTGCGCCCTGCTAGAAGGGCTGATGGTACCCATTGATGATTAGATTCCAGTCTGTATATCCTGGTGCTAAAGAGACAGCAAAAGGTGCTCAATTTGTTCCTGCTGTACAAAGTAGTGCCAAAACACGAATAGATATCAGCATCATTTCAGGCGCGATTACGCCGATAAAATTCGGGTAAAATTGGGAAAACTCGGAAAATCTTCCCAGGCTTTTCCTCAAACGGCGACAGACGCTGGAGTGAAGCAAAAACCGGTGAGTCATAAAAAAGAGACAAGAAAGACAAGTCGAGCTTCTGTATGAAAAGGATTATGGGGTTCGATGGAACCGCCAGTTATTCGGTCGTTTGAAATCGGTGTAAACACATTAGGGAAACGTTCCACCAACAATAAAGACTTATGCTTACGCCAAAATGTCGTGCATTTTCTCTTTGTCGAAACATGTAACAGGCCTTCAATTGTCACCGTGTCTGTGTGCTAGTTCTGACACCAAACTCAAGTTTTTTTGAAAAAAACATAGGTCGATGGTCTCACTCAAAACCAAGTGACATGAAATTTCGGTGACCTGAAACTAGGGGATGGGAGCAGGCCTTTTTGTGCTTAACTAGGCCGCAACGGGCCGGGCCTCTGGATCTTGTTCGCCCTCCACACACAAATTCATACGGTCTGATAGTGATCTCCGGGCTTGCTGAAGCGCAGCCGAAGCATCGAAATATTCCTACAAATGATGAAAGAGACGTTAGCGGAGGGAGTATGTGGCCAGTGAACCAATTGCGTGGTATTTTATGGTGAATATGATGCTGCGCCTTGCAAGTGTA